AATGGGGTCGTCACGCTTGCCAATGGGGTCATCATTCTTGCCAATGGGGTCATCATTCTTGCCAATGGGGTCATCATTCTTGCCAATGGGGTCATCATTCTTGCCAATGGGGTCGTCACGCTTTCCAATGGTGTCGTCACGCTTCCCACTGATGAACTCTCTTTCCTGGACCTTTCCCAGGGTGTCCTCCGCGCCGAAGGTTTCACTGGTAGCTCCTGCACCAACCCCGGGCGAACTGCTCCATTCGACAGAAGAAGCGTCACTGAGAGGTGTCATTTCTTTCCATTGCGTCTTCTCCCCCTCGGGTTTCCTCTCCACAGAGGGGTCACTGGTACCTGAACTCAACTCCACGTGGGATGCCTCCCTGTTGGCGCGCTTCATCTCGTCGTTGTAGTACGCATTGTAGAGGTCATTTAGCAGGTTTACCAAAAAATCCTTAAAAATGGAAAAAATCAGGTCAATTTCGTCGTCCAGGTAATCTTCCACCAGGGGGGGGGGCGAATCAGACGAATCTGACGAAGTAGACGAAACTGACGAAGCTGAAGAAGTTGACGAAGCGGGTTCCTTCCTGAAGGAATACAAAACAAAGTTCGGATTCAACCTATTCAGCAGTGTAAACAACTTACTGCCATTCTTTTTTATTCCATTATTGTATACCTCCTCTGCAATCAAATGCTTATGTTTCTCAAAGAAGCGGTGATTATAAGACTCGAAATAGTCCACCACAAAGTCTCTAAACGATTTGCAGCTGTACATATGGAACGGATAATACCTCGTGCTATTGTTTAGCTTAAAGTTATACTTATTGTAATTATCCAATACGTCCAGCAAGGTAAATTTATTTAGATCCAGATAAAATGAGAATGTTTCTGAACTTAGCAAATTTAAGACGAGTCTGTAGGTGTATCTATAAGAGTACACACGTTCATTATCATCACCCAAGTAGTACACATAATTTGCCTTGTCGAAATGGGATTCTACAACCTTAAAATTTTTGTACCATCTGAAGAGAGACGTTACGAAATGACGCTTAAATGTACTCTCCTTAATCTCGTAATTAAATGACTTCTTCTTCTCATGGTAGGATGGATTTACTACCGTTGTTTCGATGATCACCTTTATTATATATCTCATCCCTGTGTACATCCTTCCACTCATTTTTGTTTTCATTGCATACTCGTCCAACATGTTAAAATAATTGTAATTCTCTCTGTTTAGACTTCTTAATATAATTTCGTCTATCGCTTCATCGTATTGGTTTACTCTCTCTTGGAACTCCACCAGGAAGTGCCTTCTGGCACTTTCGGCGCTTCTCTCATGGGTGAAATCACCATCTGGAATGGTTCTCGCAGGATCGACCTCCTTCAAGGTGACAACACCATCTTGGTTCGGTTCGTCCTCCTTAACGGGGCTGCTCACACTGGACTCCTCCAATATGGCGATATTATCTGCTGTAAGTTCACTTTCCTTGGCGGCGTCACTAGTAATTGCCTCTTCCACGGTGACAAAGCCATCTTGGTTTGATTCGTCCTCCTTAACGGGGATGCTCACACTGGACTCCTCCACTATGGCGACATTATCTTTCTTTGGTTCACTTTCCTTGGCGTTGTTATTAGTAGTTGCCTCTTCCACGACGACTATGCTATATGCAATGTGTTCAATCTCTTTAACGAGGTCATCAGCTTTGGATTCTTCCACGCTGACAACGCCATATTCCTTCAATTGCTTCACTTTGAGCTCGTTGGTAAAAGCGACCTCTCCCATGAGGGCGGTGCCATCTGAAATGTGTTCACTCTCTTTAACATCGTTACTGTCAGTTGGCTTTTCCAAAAGGTCGACCATATCTGTCTTGGGTTCATTTCTTTTTGCATTGTTACTAACAAGGACGTTCTCCACGAAGGCGATGCTATCTGCAATGTGTTCACTCTCCTTGGTGGTGTCCCTCGCAGTGACAACGTCACTATTTGTAGTTTCCTCCTCCACCACGACGAGGCTGATTGCCTTCAATTCACCCCCCTTGGCTGTGTCATTAGAGATAAGTGCAACCGCCATTGGTTCTACCGGCATTGATTCTACAGCCATTGGTTCTACCGGCATTGATTCTACAACCATTGGTTCTACCGCCATTGGTTCTATCGCCATTGATTCTACAACCATTGGTTCTACCGCCATTGGTTCTATCGCCATTGGTTCTATCGCCATTGATTCTACAACCATTGGTTCTACCACCACGGGGACGTTGTCAGACTCCGATTTAGTTTCGTTTATCACATCACTCGAGGCAGCCTCTTCCAAGCCAACGTCGCTATCTCCCTTTGGTTCAATCCGTTTGAAGGTGTTATTCCCAGTGGATTCTTCCATGACGGTGATGTTACCTGGAGCCGATTCTCCATTTTGGACGACAATGCTCCCACTGGCGATGTTACTATCAGAGAACTCTTCCACGCCCATGTGACCATCTACCTTCAGTTCACTCTCCTTGGCGACGCTGCTCTTTATGGATCCTTGGACAGAGAGGGCGATACCTGCCTCATCTCGCTCCTCGACCCGATCCTCCGCCTGCTCCTCCCCTCTGAGTACATCTATCTGCAGCTGCATGCCTGCATTCCCCCCCGCGGTGCCGCTTCCAGACTTCACATCATTGGAGTAGTTGCCTTCTAAATTTGAATTCTTCCTCTGGTAGTGTAGATCCCCCTGGGGGGGGTCCGTTTCGAAAAGTACTTCCTTCTTCTCATTGGTAATATATTCACACTTAATTATGAACACAAAAAATGAAAACACTAAGATAACGTAAAAGACATTATTAATCATGTTCGCTCTGAGGGGTGACGTTCGGCGACTGACAACGTGGCTGTGGGCGACATGCAGGGGGAGGGAATCACCGCGAGCAAAGCGAAAAGGAACGTTCCAAATGAGAGATGTGCAAAAATGATGCTGACGGTGAAACGGGCAAAAAATAAAAAAACAAATTGCAAATCTACAAAAAAAAATAAAAACTCCCCTTTTTCTCTCCCCCTTCTTGTGCTTAAAAAGCGGGAAGAAAAAAAGAAGAAACGGTTAAACAGGAAGGAAGAAAATATGTCGGTCGTTTTTTTTTTTCTTTTTCTTCTTCTCCTTCTTCTTCTTTCTTCTTCTCATATTTTCACTCGCACAAACGTGAGTACTGGCGAAGAGGTACATACATTATACACACAAAAAAAATATATCCACATAAGCAGACGGTTGGAAGGTATGCGCTTATGCGTAGTAAATGCCCATAGGGCGTGCACGGCCAATTAAAAACAAAAAAGAGGTTTCATATCAAATAGACTCTGCTTCAAGTATATAACACATATACAAGAAAATGGAGGAATCAAACCTGCTGCCGCGATGGGCATAGCGCACATTACGCAACTGACGTGACACGCATTGCGTAACACAAGGTGTCAAACGGGAAATGTAAAATCAGGGAAAACAAAAGCGGAAGGGAAAATATAAAAATACTTTTACGTGCGTCCTGTGGCACGAATGAAAACTCCTTTACAAGGAAAACCTGCGCTTCATCCTAATTTGCAGCGCTTTTTTTTTTTACTTTTTCTGCTATTTTTTTTATTTTATTTGCTTTTTTTACTTTCTTTACTTTATTTGCTTCTGTTGCTTTTTTCCCCTTTTTCTTTTTCCTTTCTCACCTTAAATTGACTGGAATTGCTTTTTAACCCACCAAAAAAAAAAAAAATATGAAAGACAATTGGCGCATGCATGGTGCATGTATGGACTTTAAAAAGAACGCAAGGGGGGGGAGTGGACTTAACAGGATGACAGGGATATTCTTTTTACCCTATGACAAGTGCACGTAAACACGCGTAGGCACATGTGAAGCTCGCATATGTTGTATATATGGATATATATACAAATGCGTACGGCCGTACGTCATCTGTTCATCCCATATGTACGCCCGTGCGCACGAACAGCTTAGTGACGCGAAAGCCACAGGGCGGGGGGAGGCTGCGTGAAAATCGCCCAAGCGCGAAAAATGGTGCCGCACTTGGGCCAACACTTCGCGGCATGGACAAGCGGATTCCCATGTCAGAGTAAGGCGGACAAAAATAAAAAGTTAAAACTTGGGGCGGCAAAAAGGGGAAGAAAAAAATACATACACCAGTGAAGATTATCCGTTGCATTTTTCTTTTTCCTTTTGCCTCTCCATATTTAACTGTTTATTTCCCCCCCCCAAATTTTACCCATTTTGACAAACAAGGATAGTCACACGGAGAAGAGGCTTGGACAAAAAGAAGGGACATGTAAAAATGGATCAACAAAGCGGGAGGGTCAGCAAAGCAATAAGACGAAAGGGAGAGCCATCCATAAAAAGTCTCTGCAAACGTGCCGCTACGTTTATGTTAAAAAAAAAAAAAAAACGCATAAGTGCACGCAGATCGGTCTCACCCGTTCTTCAACAAGTAGACGAGCGAAGCCACCAGGAAACATCCCTTCGTGCTGAAAAAATATTCGTCTCCATTTTTTCTATTCATTTTTTATTTTCCTCGCCATACGGCCGACGGAAAAACAAAAAGACGCATTCGAAAAGGATGCATTTGACTGCCACTGGGGAATGCAATACTCCCCCACAGACCCGCAGTAGCAGTAACACCTCCATACCATCCACTACGTTAGCTCGCCACGAGGAAAATACACCCTTCTACACAACGCGTACGTATGGTACCCCCTGTCAACATTTTTAGTAAGTACTTCCAGAAGTAGGCACTTTCCGTTAAGGGGGCAGTACCGAACTATGCAAAGGGAAACAAAAGAATAACCCATCGTCACAGTGGAGAGTAAAGAACCCCACTTTGCGTTATCATCCGTGTTGGCATCACTAACATATACTTCTTTGCTTTCAAATCATATGCACTTTCTCCTTCGCGCGGCAGGAGTAAAAAAGTATAAGCAAACCTAAGTACGGTAGGGGGGAAAAAAAACTAAAAACATTTGGAATGCATAAAAGATCGCACTTGTTGGGGTACCATCACTGCGTAGCCGTACATACAAACAGCTACTGGATGTTGTGCTATTACAGCATCTGTACATGGGTCTACTATACATCGGGGAGGAATTCCGTCACCCCAGCAGAGCAGGGTCGTGCCTGAATAAAACGAACGTTCATCGTCCCAGGAAGACGCATAGGGTTCGTTAACTATCTCCAGCGCCAGCATAAGGGACTCCCTATGTTATCCAGCCCTCCGCACCTTTCCATTCCCCGTACGGGCGGCACAGTCAACACATGTGTAGCTAAATGATCACCCCGCGCGTATGTAGATGGGTATCATGGCCGCTTCACCCTGCGCGTATGTAGATGGGTATCGTTGCCGCTTCACTCCGCGCAGACATTCGGGACGAATTAACTTCTCCGCAAAAAATCCCCCAACCTTGTTTCACAAGTTATTTCCCACCGTAGGGGCCATTTTGCTCTTTCACAAGTGGGAATAAATAGCAGTCACAGTCCTTACGCAACTTCAAACATTGTACGAAAAGAATGGCCAACAGGGTAAAAGGTGCAGGGAGGCATTCTGGGAGGAAGAAGAAGAAGAAAAAAAAAACATCGATACACCGATTTTTTCTAATAACCTAAATGCTTGGCCAGTTAAAAGAAAAAAGTGGTGGTACGTCGTTACCTTCCCGCGCACAAAAAAAAAGAAAAAAAAAAAAGGGAATAAAGCTGTTAATATTTTTCTTCCTCCTATGCACTCATCTCATGTGTTTTTTTTTTCCCATAAAATGGTTTTAGATTGTACGCCGTTTACAGCTTAGCTTGACTCTTATCACTGTACTCGTTTATCACGCGGTGTGCATAAAATAAACTGTGCCACTCCCCCCTCACCGAATCTATGGTGTTATTTGCGGCACATATTATTGTGAAGAAAAAAAAAAAAAAAATCCAGTTTAGCTTCGTACAAATTTGCGCAAGCTGCAAAGAGTTGAAAAAAATCGCAAAATCGAAGAAGCTTCCTTCACTGCGTCAGTTTCTTTTTTTTTTCTTTTCTTTTACTAACCGTTTCGCATTTCATGATTGTTATGTTTTGCCCATTCGTACACGTATAATTAAATCCAATTACCCGATCACGCAGTTATGTAGTTACCCTGTTACGCAGTTGCGCACTTACCCTGTTACCCACTGATGCATTTGTGTAATCCTACAGCTCCGTTCTCCTTTTAGGCCTATGTTCGCTCATCATACCTTCGTGGGGCCATTTGTACGGTGTGATTTCTGCCACCTCCATGTTCCAGGCTTTATCGTTATGCCGTACTAGGGGTTCGTTTTTTTTTTTTTTGCTTCTGTGGCTTTTCGCGCCCTTTCGCCTGCGTGTCAGTTCTCCTTTTTGTGTAACCCAGCACATGCTGCCGCTGTGCTGTTGAGAGTGCCATTCGGGGAGTCGTCGGGGTTTTGTCATTCTACAGCGCCTCTCTCTAGCTCCATTTGTAGCCCCATTTGTAGCCCCATTTGTAGCCCCATTTGTAGCCCCATTTGTAACCCCCTTTGCTGCCCCTTTATAGTCCCCCATTTAAAATACCACTGCTTCGCCAACTATGTGACAGGGAAAACAGGAAAACAATTTGTTCTGATTTGCATGAACACAAAAAAAGGAAAGTCCCCCTTTTTTTTTCTTTTTTTTTTTCTTTTACGATCTCTTAAGTGTAAAAAAGATGATATTGTTATATCTCATTTTTGTTGTAATTCCATTCATCGCATTTTCTTGTTTCATATATAAAAGCGTCTGCACCTTTATTCACGAAAAAAACAAAAGAAATGAATTTTTTAACTGTTTAAGATATGAAAATAAACAATTTTTTGCGTATGAAAATTTCTCGAAGAAATATGAAATCGAAAAATACAAGTACTACGTCAAAGTTGAGAGGAAGATTGAAGTCAATTACAACACGGACATTTTGGAAGATCTGAAATGGGACTCAATTGGTATGGACAAACAGAACGAACAATACTTGGAGAGCGTACTGGACCAGATTTATAATGATCAGAAGTACGCAAAGGACAACGAGCTCTGTGACCCTCGCTTTCACTGGATGAGGTATGGTCTTGTCCGGCTACCGCCAACAGGGGATAGAGCTGGCAGTTCGACTGTCCTGTTTCTTACACTCCACACGTCTGACTCTTTCACTCCCCACATGTAATACTTTCCCTCCCCACGCGCAGAAAATTGTCGAATGAAGACATCGTGAAGCTTAAGGTGCTGCTGCTTAAGAAGGCCATCTACTTCCTCCCCATATGCAACAAAATATTTCAAGACAAAAATAAGAAGCAGCGCTTGTACAATAACTACTACATTGATGACAACCTGTCTAAGGAGCTGGACGGAGTAAGAGCAACGATCGGGACTCTCCCCTTCTGCACCACTGGGACTAGTCCATTTGGCTACATACGCATATGTGTATATGCGTACAGTTATGTGACACTTATGTTACTCTTATATTACTCTTATGTTACACTTATGGATTTTTTTTTTTTTGGTGCACCGCCCTCCCTGCAGCAATGTGAAGAGTTTTTAGAAGAATTCAATCTGATCATTTATGAGGCCAACTGCTTAGCTCCAAGATGGGGTAATCCAAGAGAAAGGAAAAAAAAGACAGAGACCCCTCCCCTTAGGCTGACGTGCAGGAGGCGTGTCACCATGCCTCTGCGTTGTTTGCACCTGATGCAAATGTCTAGAGGAATCACCGCCCCGGACACACATACACAGATAGACACACACAGACACACACAAACACACACGGTGTATCAACTCCGTGCGGCAAAAGGTACACTGCACTCCATGACGCCTCGTTTGCTAACCCTTTAACCGCTTCACCCCACAGGCGAAACCATCATTTCGGACGCCTATCGCATCTTCCACCACAACAAAATCAAGGCGGATGAGGAAAAGAAGAAGAAGGAAGAGCTGAAGAACCAGGCGAAGAAGCAAAAGCAGAAGGAAACAAAATTGAAGGAAACGACGGAAAAGGCTAATTTGTTAGCCCAAGAGATCATCGAGGTAGGTCCCAAGTCTTCCGAGCCAGCGCAAAATGAGTAGAGACAAAAAAAAAAAAAGCAACCAACCAAACAAAGGAAACAAAAAAAAAAAGCAACCAAACAAACAGAACAAACGAAACAAAAGGTGCACGCGAGGAGTAATGCAGACACACCGATTCACGCGAGCGAAAGGGAGAATGGAAGCATGAGTTTGTCCCCCCACCACACACCAGTTTGTTTGTGTCAGCGCATATGCGCAATGCATGTAGAATCCGCGTACGCATCCGCCCGACTTCCCTTCCCTTTTTCC